CTCTTTTAATCTGAAAAAGCAGCCTCCATCCCCCAGACTCTTTATGTATTTGGATGTGACATTGACTCCTTGAGGAATAGTCTAATTTTTAACAATGTGAACAAAATCTGGGAATCAGTACATCTCACAGTAACATTAGCACAGAGGCAAATACAAAATGTTTTAATTTAATCTAATTTTTTTATTTAATAAGTACACTCTAAGATGTTCTCGTGGCAGGGAGGGGAAAGGATGAAGGCATATCTAGCCCATTGTTGGCTCTCCTGCTGGCCTGATTGTGGTTGGGGGCAGTGGTGAGACCCCAGCCTACAATCTTCAGGGCCCCTGGAGCTTCTGCCCAAATACAAAATTTTTGTTTATATTATCCTTAACATATCTACCTCAATTTCTTCTCCATTTTTAAGATTTATTTTTATTTTCAGCTATTTTTTAAAACAGTTTGTAGAACTGATGAGGTAATTTAGATACATATGTAAAACCAGAGATTCACATACAACATAAAACTATCTTCCGAAGGATTTCCCTGAAATGAGTGCATGCTATGAGTACCATATAAATGAAGGTGAATAGAACAGTAAGTTAGTTTAATTGGGCTTAAGAAATTCTAGTTCAGTAAAATCTATCAGCTTTAGTTGTAGATGATGATTATTTTGTCTTTCAAGAAAGTATTACAACATCCCCGACTGTGAACAAATACAGAAAAGCAGACACTCAGGATGACATTCTGGAGTTGACAGTGCCTAATGAGGAAGAGGAAAATCTTATTTTCTGGAAAATTTTGATTCCCGTGGGCAATTTTGTCAGCTCACCAGGGAAATTCCAGATAGAAAAGTTACCCCAAATTTTATAAAACTTCCATGAAATTAGAAACTATTACTATGTGTGTGAAGGTACACATGCTAAACAATGCTCAGAGTAGCAACGAAGTTCAGTGAAACCAGACAGAGGAAGCAACTTATACAGCACAGTTATGCAACAGCATGGTGTGGAGTTACAGACAAGGGTGCTGGAAGAAAGAATTGAGAAAATGTGAAGATGGAAATGAGAGAGGTTTGTGTTGCTTGTGTTTTAAAATATTTTAACTCACTGGCATCAGTAAGGAGACAGGAAAAGGGATTGGACCAACTGAGATACTAGGAGTACATGAAGGAAAAGGGATGAAAAGGTGCTGATCAGAAACTGGAACAAAGAAAGAGTTACCCTAATTAAGAAAACAATTCGGGTAGATTTAATTAATGGAATTGAGTTTATACAGATCAGAAGGAATTAAGGCTTGCTGTAAGAAGATAATAAAGCAATGATTATCTAACCCCTCTGTACTGCCCAGGATGGTAGACCCTAGTCACATGTGGTTATTTAAGTTTAAATTATACTAAACATTCAGTTTCCCAGTCACAATAGTCACATTTCTTTTTTTTTTTTTTTTTTTTTTTTTTTTTTTTTTTTTTT